ATCAGATTCCCCCAAATCACCTGTTTCCTGAGTAAATTATTTCAATTCAACCAAATCACCCTTTCAATTTTCATGAAAGTTTTTACCTGTCACTTGATGAGCAGTTACCACTCTGACCAAAGCTGGATACACTCACCAAAATCGTTTTCCTGATTGTTTTCCCTTCTTTTTCATAACAGGTGTAGGTGGAACTGTTTGTTTCTTAAATCCAAACCAATACCAGATTCCGCTTCCCACTCCTCTATATCAGAAACCTCTACTTTCTGGCTAAGACCCATCACTTTCTTCAACCTTGTCATTTTCTCTTCATTTCCAGCACGTGCCCCAGCAGGACAAGTTATTTGCGGGAGGTTTGCTCACCAATAAACATTGCTGTTATTACTGCATCAGAGTGACTGTGTACCCAATAAAAGGAGAGAATACAAAGATGAGGACAATGAGACTAGAGATAAGTTGAGGGGCTCTACTAGGGTTATAGAGCTGGGGTTTAAATTCAGCTAAGACCCTCTAGAACCCGTATTCTTAACCACTAAGCACCAGGCGTGGCCAGTGATGGGGAGGTGGGGCAGACCCCAGTAATAAGCAAGTGAACCAGAAACTGTCCTTCCCCTCCCCCAGCTATACAGATATTACAAAGGAATGATGGAGCACAACAATGCGAATGTACTTAATGTCACCGCACTGTACACTTACGAGGGGTTGAAATGGTAAATTTTATGTTTTGTATATTTAACTGCAGTACGTTTTTAAAAGGAGTGATGGAAGGGGAAATGGGGAAGGAAAAGAGCCTGGACAGGCTCAGTTGGAAAGATCTGAACTTTAGAATAGAAGAATCAAGGTTGGGGACACACATCTGAATGTCATCTACTTTGCAGTTATAGCTAAAGAAATGAGAATAGCCAGGATGAGAAAATAGAACAAGAAGAGGAGAGAGCCCAGAGAAGGAGACTGATGAAGTATCACCTGAGAAGTAGAAGGAGGGATTTGCACCAAAAGCCACGACAGGAGGGAAGAGGTTTTCAACAGGGTCACGTGCTCCTGAGAGGTCAGGGAGGACGCGGACTAAGGCCAGCCATTGGTTCAGCAGTCAGGAAGCCACGAGTGAGGCTGGGAGAGCAGCACGTGTCCAGAGGGTGACACTAGAAGCACTTAGGAGAGTTGAGGAACAAGTGAGGAGTGGGGGAGAAGCACCCATGAGCACAAACTGCTCTTTCCAGATCTTTGGATGTGAAAGATGAAGGTGGGGGAAGAGGAAGGTAGTGCATGGGAAGCAGGATCTAGTTGAAGGGTTTTAAGTCAGGTGAGATTTGAATGTTTTGGGGTCAAAGGGAAGCGAGGCCAAGGACATAGTCAAAAAAGAAGGTGAGTATTTGGCAAAGTCTCAGAATAGACCAGAAGGCCTCCAGGTTAGCATCGCTGGCCAGTTTAGCCTTGGGAAGAAGGAAAAATAAAGCTGGGCAGGAGAATGGAATGGGCAAAACAAGAAATTTTGAGCTGAAGTGTGGGGAGAGAGAAATTGAGTGAGTATGCATCAGGTGGCCTGGTTTTCCCAGTTGAAGGATGGGTCATTGGTTGAGACTGATGGGGTGGGGGTGGGGCCTCAGAAAAATAAAAATGGTTTGTAAAGGAGTTGTGGGAAATGAGAAAAACTGACATGATTCCTATTCACAAGCCTGCATCAGAATCTCCTGAATATCTGTAAATTTCTACGAGGTGATGTGGGGGTTAGAGACGTGTTTGGAACCATTGCACTAATTAAATTTACTAGGAATAAACCAAAGACTCATGGCCAATTCTGTGTACTTCTTCAGTGATGTCTAATTACTTGAGGTCCACAATAAGCAATGGCAGTATTTACTCA